CTTGTTCTGCAATTTTACTCTTTCATTATCTTCTGCTGCTTGCTTATAATGAAAATTGCATTATCTCGGACGAATATTAAGGCCATGTATACCCAAGCAATTAGCTTGAGCTAAATCAAATTACTTTTAATATATTCTTTCAAAATGAAAACATACTTTCCTTTTTAAACTAAATGGTTTTGAACATTTTCTTTCTTCTCTTTTTATCTAGATGAAATTATTTATCTCCAAGTAAATAATTATTATACTTAAGATTTTCATGATAGCTCTATTATTACATTTAAAATTAATATAAGATTAAAATACTAGTTTAAGTGTTAGCAATAATTTCATGAATTGTTGAAAAATAATGATCTTTAAAACTCATAAAATAATTGCGCAAAGGCGCAATTATTTTATGAGTAATTAACTGAGGAATAATTATGTATTTTCAAAGCAAATTATCTGAGATATAATTGTGCCTTTGTCTAATTGTAGAACTTATCTCCATCATCCCAATTTATTTCCTTTGCATTAAGGGTTTTTATGCATGTGAAATGAATCCATAAAAGATACGAATTTGAATAAGTTCCCATGTCGTCGAGGCTCATTGTTTTCAGAAGATAATGGCTGCGACCGAAGACAAAATGCAGTTGCTTTACATGTGAATTTAGTAAAATAACCAAATGGTATGTAAAGTCTTTACGTAACTTCAAATACCAGAAAGGCCTGAGTGCGTTCAAAATGTGCAAATTCAATTAATTATGCATGACATAAGTTTTGTTTTGTGTGTGTTTTTTTAAAGTGAGTAGTTTTATAAAAGTGAGTAGCATTTGCATTTTCAATTTTATTTTAGAAATTTTCAATTCACTTTACTTTAATACATTATATTATTTTCCAATCGTAAGCTACATATCATTCAGAGAAAATTGTTTCTTCAGTTTAGAACCTATTATACATTCAGAGTTTCCCTGTATGTAGTATGTAATAGAAATAAAAATATTATTTCAAAGCGAAGCTGTGAAATATTTTTGGGATGTATGTTTCCTGAAAAACGAAAAGTAAGCTACTGAATTTTCTCGAAGTAGCTTTATTCTCTGATGCACAGGAAAGGGGATTCAAAAACAAATATTGGAAAAGATGGCCAAAGATGTTTTTTAGATTTATTTATTGAATTTCATTTTTGATAAGCGGCATTTAGATTTTATATTTGCCCTCCATAATAAAACATGCATGAGATTTCATTGCTTTCAGTTACTGCTCTTGTAATAAATGAAAATTATTGGTTACATTTTAGTTCCATATTTAATCTCTTACGTTACGAATTTTATTTTGCCACAAGTATAAAATTCCGAGGCAATCAAAATGATCTGCGCAACTAGATGTTACGCATCTATTTTGAATAAATAAAAATTTCATTAACTTAAATTAGCATTTAATAATGCTAATAATTGAAATGTATACATATTCAATCATATATATGCAATATTTAACAAAAGCAAATACATTTTCTGATAAAACGAACTATACCCAATACCTTTCTAATAAATAAATGTTATTTAATTCTACCTCCGTCGGAGCACATTTTGATGGTTAATAATGCTATTCAATATGTTCTACATAATTCTCACTAAACTTAGAATCATCATAGTTTTAAGTACAGAAGTTCCGTTCCATTTTTATTTCAAAGTCTTTAGAAAATTCGCTCAGGAATGAAATTACCTGGGTACTTAAGTAAAAGAGATCAGTCACGTAAACTTAATTAATGAAGAATTAAAGTACTCTACGAATATATTATCTGTGATTAAAACAATTTAGCACGTAAGTTCTTTAAAGTTATATAAATTTATTTTTAAAGTAATAGTAGAAAAGGAAGGCAACAGCCGAAAATGATCAAATGAACTGTGACGTCAAAGCATGTTTCGATTTGAATAGTCACCCGAGAAATAGTAAAATGCACGTTTGGTTAAAATGTTACTCTGCGTACGCTGTAATCGCAGGCGTGTTTCCCACGAAAGTTAATAAGATATATGACTTACTTTTATCGTCACTATCCAAAAGCAGTTTAAAGTAAATAAACAAATGCTGTTGAAGGTTTCAAACCCTGAGTAACGGTAAAGTATTCTCTATTTTTTACCGTACTAGCAGACTTACTAATTACTGTTAAAACATTACCAAACTATGAACAAATTCCCTAAATAATCACCATTATGCCAGTTTCAATGCTCAGTGATTAAAGTTACTAAATGTATGAATTTGGAGCCATATCAAGTGCAGTTTGCAGCAGACATTGAGTACATTTGTGTAATATAATCGACGCTTATTATAACGACCACTCGTTCTAGTGTTGAAAATTCCATTTTAACGACCAGTATAAAATGCTCCCAACCAATATACATTAAAACTTAGTAAAACAATTTTCGCAACGACAACAACTCCGTCCTTTTCCTTTAGCGAGGGTTCATTATGATGAGCATCAATTGTTATTTACATTGTATTTCAACTTTAATTAAAGTATATGATCGCCGGTGTTTTCAAGATCATTCGTTATAGCTTTAAATTTGCTATTGAAGTAATTACGTTACTTTTAAATTAAGTAAATTCATAATGGTGTCATTTTTAAAGCTTAAAATTTAGGTATATAAAATCCAAGTTAGCCTATACACTTTACTTCACTGTCTTTAGAAATAGTATACATAGAACACGTTTTTAAATAAAACGTATCTAAATTTTCATTTTACGAAATTTCAGCATAGCTAACCAGTGTCCAACCGCTTAGATAACTAAATACTGGTAGTCAGGTAGTCATCAAACATTAAAGCGCGGACATAAAGCTGTATACAGACTAGTTGCACAGGTGATCTGATGGCATTCCCCTTGAGTAACGGGAATTTGAAGCAGTTTGCTTGGAAAATCCACCAAAAAAAGCAGCCCTCTCTTTAAGCAGATAGTTCTCATGTGTTTTTCCACATGCAACTAGAAAATAATTTCGATGGGTAAATTACCAAACTTCTTTTGCCTGTATCATTCAGACTGTAAAGAACTGTCATACTACCCTTGCGAGTTCGTTGCTGTAAGCACGTCCAGCGAACTACTGAAAGATCCGTGGTTCGAATCTCGGAAAGAGCACGGTTTATTTGCCATGGTTCTCGCTATGAAAAATCTAATAATCTGTGCAGTAGAGCAAAATCAAAATGTGGTAAGTGGTAACTCACCATTTAAATTCGGTAGAGTGGATATTGTGTCCCTTCCTAATCGCTGCTATAGTCGGGAAGAATGTAGGGAACTAGCCTTCCTGCTTAAACTTGTGGTGTAAGTGGTTAATACATCCAACTCACAACTAGAAGATCCGCGGTCCGTTCATGTTTTCTGGTCTAAAATGCCTGAAAATCTCTACAAAATTGTGTTTCATAATCAGCCATCAAACAGGAGACCTAAGGAGTGAATAACTGTATGGTAATTTGGTTCTAATTGTTTCTAACCGTACACTGAAATAAAATTAAGCAGGGAAAGTTATTAAAATAATGCTCTTGTAAAAATCATTAATAAAAATGGCATTTATGCAAATTTAAAAACCCGTGTATATTAATTTAAGACTTCCTGTAAAGTACTGAACTAAAACTATGTGAATTCTTTACAATTTCACGTAAGTACTTGATATTTGAATTCAGTTTAATAAATTAAATTTAAATATTTCATCAAAAAACTTTGAATTAATTTCTTAGTTGGCCCGACAATTTCTGCTGTTTTTTACGTGGAAATCAGTGGTCAGATAATCAGGAACAGACGCAGGGTCATCTGCCGAGGAAAATAGAAATTAAGTGTAAAAAAAGCAAAGTTAGAATTTCGAAAATGTTGTAAAGAACTAGATTGAAATTATTGTCATTAATTAAAGAAGATAAATTTTTATAAATGGGAAAGGCTTCAAGAAATTCTGGTTCATGAACTAAAAGAGAATTTTCGCACAACCTGGTTGTGTCAAAACTGGAGTTAATGGCCTACCATGACTTTCTGGGATCCAATATTTATCTAATTCTTCTTTTCAAACTTAAAATTTCTGTTCTTTGATGAGAAATTTAAGGCTGTTTTAATGTGGCTGATATATTTCAAATTATAATGGCAAGACATGCTACAGCTTCCTGTGTAATTCAAGTCAAAGATGGCACCTTGCAGAATAGAAATACAGATTTTACTGGTCGGCGAAGATTATCTGAAGGCTGAATTTGTGGTTAAAATACAAGCAATTTTGTAACTGACACAAGGATAAAATTCTGTGATAACGAGGCTGTTATGATAACTTCGAATAGCAGAATGTCTTACATGAATGTAAGGAAAACGTTTTAAGGTGCTGGAACCAGATTGTTGCATTGGCAAGCACCTTGTCCTCCGCCGGTGCTGCTTAGCAACGAATCATGTAATGGGCTTGCGAAAGTCCGTAGTTTTATGTATATTTGATTCTCACGTTTTTCTTGATTAGCTGTTAACTGAGCGGTTAGATTATAATTTTTTTTTTTAAATTAATTCTACTATTTCCTAATCAAATAATTTCCTTATTTCGTTGTTGCAATCTAAAAAATATAAAGCCTTTTTCAATAATAGTGGATGGAAATCCTGACAGTGGCAACATTTATCAAATAACTGAGCTTTCACGATATATGTAAAATTAATTAAGTTTTGTTGTTGTTGTTTTGTTTTGTTTTTGTTTTTGTTTTTTGTTTTGTTTTTTGTTTTGTTTAGCAGAGTGACTTAATTTCGCGTGGCTGGCGAAGAAAACCTAAAACGTTTACTGTAAACAGTAGTGATGAACTCATATTCATTGCAAGCAATAAATTTGGGTTATTTTATAGAGTTTCAAACATAAAATGAATGGCTGAATCAGCCCAATTCACAACATGCGAAGTCTTTGTTGAATCCTTTTTTATCATTGTCAGAAAATACGAAATTTTCAGCGACATGTCTAATCCAAAACAAAACAAATAAAAAGATAAAGAGAGAATTTTTCAAGCAATTTAATATCAGAATATTGCATGAAACATTTAGGGATTATTAAGAGGATTATCCATAATTAATCCTTCAATTTGACAATAATTATTATTTCAGGAAACGACTTTTTATATTAGGTTATATTTTTTAAATTATGACAATACACACGAGGGCTGCCTTTGTGGTGGACTTTCTAAGAGAAACTGGCTCGCATTAACTTTGGAGATAGCAACCGCGAAAACTCCCATGTACCACCACTTCTCCGGGATTCGCAGCCGGGTCGAATTACCATTGTTCACAGGTTTTTTTTTCCTCTCGGACGCTGGTGAGCTATTTTGAGAAAAGATATGTGTCTAACTCAGAAAAACTTCAATGTGAGAAATTAATTCGTCAATTTTAGTGTATGTGCAATGGAGTTTTCAAAACATTTGAATGCTCTCTCAACTGTAATATTAACAAAGAGTGATTTAACATCAACAGAAGTCTTAACTGAACGCTAGAAAGAAATATCCTTAAGTTTATAGAGACTTCAAGGAAATTCTTTACAGTTTATTTATTGTTAGAATGTAACAGGAAAAAAATTAGAATATTTCACTAATGGCATGATGATCTTCCTAAACTAGCAAATATAGAGAAGAATAGAATTCTAGTTATGCGGACTTTGAGAAAATCATAAAACCTGGTATCATAAAACTTGTTACGGATAGCAGTGGGTGGAATAAATATTTTAACTAAAGTGGGAATATATGAGATGAAGTAATACCGGTTTCAACTTTCTAAAGGTCAGAAGCTGAATGATCTTCAAGAACTGAGAAATTTGAACCCTCAATTATCAGTTTTGTAACTCCATTGGTGTATATGTTTTGGCCATAACAACAGTTTTACCACAATATTAGACTTGTAAATAATAATGTTTGTTTTAGAACGAATTTTTTAATTTATTCTAATGATGAAATTTGATTTCAGCGCTACCGTTTACCATTAAACGTTTCTAATTGTTTGCCTCCCCATTCAAAATCATGTTCCTCTGCTACATAAAATATATTTGTTTTTTACTCTTACATACTATATATCGTGGTTTTAATGTTCGTTCTTGGAATATTTCCTTTTTCTTGATCTCTCCTTATTTGAAATCAGTTGCCATCAACAAAGACTTTTCTCCAACAGTCATTGATAATGCCTTTTACATTTTTCTTCTTACTATTACAAAAAAACATACCGAAATAACTCTAACAGCCTCTTCGTCAGCCCATTTCATCTTTCAATCAATTACAAAAATTTAATGGAAAATATAGGCCACATGCATACATGCATGCACATATGCATGCACATATGCATGCACATATGCATGCACATATGAGTAGACCTGACTTTAAACAGTTTTATTAGATAAAGTGCTTGACGCAGCTTCCACTAAAAACTGAATATGAAAATTCAAATTCTTTTCACCATATAATGAGTAAATTTTAACATAAGGGGTTCCTTCGCTTGTCCTGCAGATATCAAAGCAGTATTCTGTTTCCATTCATGTACGCTAGTAGGTGTGACTACAGCAAAGGCATCAAAAGACGCGTTTTGCAATAGATGGCTGCACTTCATCAGTTAATCGAAAATTGCAATGAATTGCTATAGCAGATTTATACTATTCATACCACACACTATATGCACTGCGTATTTTGTTTTCACGGTTGCCATCTTCTTGTGAACTGGCTGGTTAAAAGCCGCAGCGTCATTACTAGTGAGTAAAATTTCTGCGCGTGTCATGCTTACTTCGCCCATCTCTGCAGTCAAAACTTGACACTTTCTAATTATTTTGATGTACAAACTCATAAAATTGATTTACAGATAAAGCGCACAGGATTTAAATCCAGATCCATCTTTTTTTACAACCGTGCATGGCATCATTCACGAGAAAATGTTTCATTTTTTAAAGGCTGCTAGTTTATTTTCTTCCTTACCTGCAATAAAAAAACACTGATGAAACATAATTGTTACAGATACACTTTCAAAGTATGTACTTGCTAGAGTAATTCTAAAATACTTATATACTTGCTACATTAATTCTAAAATAAAATTAAACTTGTTGATAAAAGAAATACACACCAGCTTGAATTTCTAAATTAATTAAAATTAAGCTTTATGTTTGCGTGCTTTCAAACAATACCTCTATTCATTTCGAGAAAAGCATTTGTTCTTTCATATCGGAAACAAATACTTAACCCACGCTCTCGTTACACAGAATTAAATGCGAAAACTTCGCATTATGTTCGAGATGGTGGAATTGTGAGATGAGTAATTCAAAATGCAAAAAGCAGCTTATTTAAACTCAAATCTTTTATTAATGTCTTCATATAACGACTGTCTTTCTAGTTTGATATTATCTTCTTGGAAAAGAATTTTTTCTGAATCATATTTTGAATTATTTAGCAGTCCTTTCTTTCAAGGATATGTTTCGTGGAAGCGTTATTTTCTTTATTCTTCAAATGACACTCTTTGTGTTTCTCCGTCTTTACATAAGATAATTACCTAGAATTCCCATGCTAAATCTCTACAATTTAACTAATGGGGATGAATAATCTCATCGTTACACAACTATACGTTTTGTAAGAAGGATAAACTTCGTAATACCCAGAAAACAAGATAGTTTTGTTACGTTGCAGCTACACCTATATTTCTAGTTTCTTACTGCAAAAGTATTACTGAAGAAATAGGCGTGACGTTCACCGATCATGTTTGTAATCATGCACTCTTAACAACAGCATCGGTAACAAGAGTATATAATTATATTAGATGAGTAGAAATTAAATTAGATGAGAAGAATAATCAGACGAGTAGAGATTGTAAACCAAAACCGTTTTAAAAAGATTTCAATGCGTGAGGCAAATATAAAAACTGAGCTCTTTTAATACTTTTATGACTTTCACAATAACATTAGATTATTATATTTTACGTTTCCCCTAAATATTTTCACTATTTTCTCAAAAGCCAAATGTCTCACTTGTCTTATCTTCGTCGCGACTTTATTTCGTACCTCGAATATAGCAAACCACAAGTGAACAATCTTAAATAATATCTTCTATGGCTCCGTTCAGACAATAGTACAAAGATCATAACTGGTTTAAGCCGAGCTACGTTGCTAGGAAAGCAAACCTTGCTACGTAACAAAAAATGGTTTGGAGGTTTTGGCATAAAGTTCGAAGTTTTCAACCTTAGCCGACTTCGTATAAGAGTCGACCAATCGGAGCGAACGCGGGAAACCTATTGAGCGGAGAAACAGAGCAAAAAAGCTGTAGACGCATCCACGTATGCTCAAATTTAGCTTCTCTAATTGGTTGCGGCTTAGACCCTGTCTCGCAGATGTGAATGGAACTCCCGAATATTGTGCCTTATGTCTATGGCTCTATGATATTTACATCATCTTCTGAACGGGGCGTTAGAGGATTTTTCGTCGAAAACATTTTCGTAAGGCATAAGAAAATCGCGCAACTGGCTGCATGGGCTTCGAACCCAGGTCGAACTACTAGTGTTTAACAATCTTAATCACCAAGTTCCTGATGGCGTCTGCACGGGTTTGATCTCACGTCACAATTATCCAGATTCTTAACGATGCATATGACCTAAAACTAATACTATGTATAGGCTATCATATATTGGTTACAGCAAATAATCGACTAAACGTGCTTACTAAAATGTATATTCAACAGGAATTTAACATTTATTAAAGAAAGCATTTTTAATGAAGGCCAATTTCTAGCTGCTTAATTCAAGATCCATCAATTTAATGGGAGTGATCTTTAGCTACCAAAGGAATGTTGATTTATTCATTGAGGTCTAGGGAGGGGAAAAAAGGCTTAACTTCAATAAATGACCTCGCATAAAAATCGAGATTTCTGTGTACATTTTCCTAAGAACTTATTGAATGAAATGATTATGCCACTGGTGTCGTTTAATAAAAGAATCAGATTCATACTATCCTCGTATTTTAATTGTTTTTATGTTATTAACTTAATAAAATTTTGCATATACTTTTGTTTCGCCGCATAGGGAATTCAAATGAAAATCTTAGGAAAGCTGAGATATTATATCAATATTTTACGAAAGTAATGAATGTTCTTACTTCTTGTGCTGTTAAGCAATGATGAGTTATCCCTTTTTACCCTTTTTATAAATCAGATAAATCTATTAATTAAATTCTTATGAACTGTCTTCTGCTTAGGACAGGCTAACTGCGTAATGGGAAGTTTATATACTTATCATATGATATAACTGTTTTAATGCTATTTCATGATTTTCCTCTTTTTACCGAAGACAATACTTCTCTTAGTTATTTAACTTCTGTTATAATTTCTTAGTATCAAAATGCATAAAAAAGAATTTTATACAATCTATCTATTATATATAAATTTCCCTCTTTAAAATTTACTAAAGCTTCTTTTTTTTTAATTTTATAGATATTTCAGTTTTTCAGTTTAACATTTGTTTCTCTACAGTTGAATATGATGCTTTTGTCATGTGTTATATCCAGGAATGAACAGCATTTTGCTCTTCATTTTTTCAAATATTGCAAGCAGCTTTGATTTTCCTTGCCGAAATTTGTTTCCTATAAAAAAAAAGTACTCAGGCATTTTCATGAACTGGAGAAATCTTTGAAAAATAACAAGATCTATCCAGACTGGCTAACAGCTACAAGATACGTGAGTTGACTAAAATTACACATTCAGACTATAAAAAAAAAAACGGAAACATACTTTGCATCAATACGAACTACTGAAGCGGATGTTAAATATGCTGAATAATTCTTCGAATTTCTGTTGGGTAAATAGACTTCTCTTCATCATTAAAAGCTGCAAAACCTCAGGGGTGAAATAACGCAAATTTGTGAAAAACACAAAGCATTCTACGTTTAGCTACGAGGTTGCTATAATTATTAAGGTAAACTACTAAAACAACATCAATGAATTTCATAACTGTGTGGAAACAATTCACGACGAATGATATTACATTGCGCAAAATGATTTAAGCGATAAGTAAACTTTCAATGAAGTTCATTTTAAAAATATCGATTTTTTTCAGCAGTAGAGAAGAAAGTTAATCCTCAAATCAAGTGCCATGATTTAGTGACTAATTCAAGCGATTATTGATCAATTCAAAAAAGGCATTTCGGGTTGTTTGGGTTTTAATGACTTAAAAGTCCATACTATAAACAGGAAAGTTAGTTTTAGTCAAACGAACATACTAAGCTCTTTTTAGAAAAAGTAAATAAATGTACAGCGGAACCATCATGACTGCTATAGAAACGAAGAAACCAAAAAGATATGAGGATAGGGAACATTTTAACTTGTTCAAAATTTTAGGTTCCCTTAAAGTAAAAACGCGCTGAAATGTAATATGAATTTAATTTAGAAGTCAAACAATAAATATCAGCATTATAGCTTGCTTATCTGAATCCTCTGCTTTACTTTTATACCTTTTGTTTGTGTGGCTGCGTCATTTCAAAATTAATCCTTGTCGTATGATTCTTAAATAATGCTTCAGTCAATAATAATGTATAAATTTGTGAACTGAAACATTGATTTGTTAATAGGAATGAACTTATGGTTCTCTTAAATTAATGTACTTAATAATTATAAACTTCTGCTGCTATTCAAAGAAAGTAACACAAATAAAAGGCAATAATAAATTTTGTATCATGAAACACAATTTATTTAATTTTAAGAAGAGAATTTACAACATTCATCACAAAATCTTTACTCAATCTTCCAGTAACAATTATTTATTAACTGGGATATTTCCAGCGAGAGACAATAAATTACTCGAAGTTTCGACAGTTCATTTTCGACAATTTCCTTATTAACGGTATCATGTAGCACATTAGTTTCTGAAATAACAATAACTTGGCTACCTATAACCAATAATTGCGCCACAAAATACGACCGAGAGAAATATTCGTCCGCCACCAATGAGGTATCTAAGTTCATAATAGCCAACGTTATAATTTAATGTTGACTCATCAAAATAAAATTAACCTGCTTATTTTATGTTCAAGAATGTTTTATCAACGTTAAGGAAAAACGTTCAACTAGCTATTACCTGCTGGTACTGCGTTTATACATCAAACTCCGTCAGCATATATCTAAATCCTGCACGTTAGAATTGCTGTTAGAAATAATATATACACCATGTCCACCAAAAGCATTATGCAAGCTTTATATTCGCAATCATTGATCATAGGCATATATTTCTAGTCAAAAAACTATTTTAAATGCTACAGATATTTATGTTTTCGAATTTTTTAATTTAAACAAATCAGTTTTGTAAAAACTATGAAATCTAACTTTTTATATGTTCTCCTCGGTCTCCACAATTAGAATAAGGAAATTTTTTATTCATTTAAAATCTGGGATTTTTGACGTCATTTTCAGTTTGCTTAGACGAACAGGTTATAAAAGTCGTATTAGAATAATTCGAGGTTCATTTATCCTTTAAATGTCATCCAATAACATTCTTTTGTGATTTACTAATGTGTAACATTCTTTAATTTATCATTTTGTTATAACTTGTATGCCCAAAGAATTTTCACACACAAGTATTTTACTGGCTTTTAAATGCTAAAAATACGTTATCAATATTCTCATGAAATTTCACTATTTTAGAATCATAATTTAAATAATCACTCAAAACATTATTAAAATGACTTAATTTTAATACATATAAACAATGTTACGATTTGGCTATGTGCCAAAACAGAAGCCGGCAGTCTCTTGGCTATTTGCCAAAGTATGTTTGATTTGGCTGTGTGCCAAAACGGTGCCGGAAGCTTATTAGACCGCGAATTAACACTGTGAATAAATCGCCTTTTTTTAAATGTATATTCATGAATACTTTTCGTCACAATTTTCATAGAAATGTTCATTAATATCAGAATTGCATACCAGTTGGAAACATTTCGCTCTTCAGT